ATTTACTAGAACTCTGCCAATACAGATTCAAAGTCCTACAAGGATTCAAAGATCCTATGACCACTATATAAAGAGAGGTTCTGCCTCTCATTAAACATTCAATCTCAATACCACCTACTAGCTCCTAAGCTCTTGCTTCTAAAAGCTATACACATACGTCGTAGTTTTAGTCTCCGACTAAACTTCCAGTAATCCTTCATTCCCTTAGCCCTCACTGAATAGCCTCATTTAGCCTTACTGACTTGAGCGTCAAAGTACTTACGGCAGACACTACACTGATGTCTACGTAAGCTTTGCACTTGTTTGCTTTGTGTGCAGGTTTAGCGGATTGTCAGTGGCCTCAATCTCATAGGATTAGATCTCTTTTCGTAACTGTAGATTTTACCGTCTACAAAAGGATAATTCACCCTAACATTATGGTTAATTTTGAAGATAAAAATGTACCAGGTAAAATTATCATTTATGACTATATATTTGTTGAATTGTATACTACTATACTGCGCCTATCATTACTAATATGTAACAATAAAATCAATCACTGTTAATATGAAAACTTCCCATTTCTACCATGACCAAAGAGAGAATATAGGCTTTAAATAGTTATAAATTTTGTTTATTTCCTGTTATATAAATTATTCAAATCTTTGTTTTTCAGTAGTGTAGCCTTAATAATGCCTTATACGTTTTGTTTCAAATTATGGCAAGTGTTAACATATGGCAACAGTTAATTAAGTTGCCCAAATAAAACCAAAATCCCCATATCAAAAGCATGAAACTAGAATGCCGCAAACGTGAACACCTTTCCAAGTTACACTTACACTTGAATTCTTCAAACCCAGATCTCCTTATATCTCTCTCTCAAATCAAATGACAATGATTTCATTTAACTCGATCTTAACAATGAAGGTGGTGGTGGAGATATTGACAGGAACACTCTTCTACATTCAAGTTGGAAATGATGCCACCGTTGCTGATTTAAAGAAAGAGATTGAAACCCAGCAAAAGCTCCCTTGTGACCGTCTCATTCTACTGCTGGACAATGATAAAAGCCATCTGATGAGCCAAGATCAAGATGAAGTCTCTTTGGTTGATTGTGGGGTCAAAGATGGATCTCATATCTATCTCTTTTTCAACCCGATTGATGATGGGTCCTCTCAACATCTTGTCTGTACTTTACCAGATTCTCTATCGGCGTAGGCCTAGTTCTTCGCTACTAGAAAGAAATTAATAGCAGATTAGATGAGATTACTTACTGTTTATTATTGCTTTGATCATGTTTATATATATATTTGGTCTCTGGTTATTTCATTGATTATATAAACATATATAATTTTAAGTGTATGCGGATTGAATTATCAGCAGAATTATATTGGCTATGACTATGAGATGTGTATGAAGATACAAGAATGATATGCAATTGGACCAGACATAATGTTTTCGACAGAACTAACTGCCGATATGTCGTTCACGTATGCGAGACGGGAACTTTATGTCAGTTCATATTTAAAAAAAAAAAAAAAATGAAAATTTTGTCGTTTTACTCAAACACGGACCCTGCTTGATTTTCAGGATCAGTGAAAATTTTCCTTTTCAAAGGGGAAGTCTACAACTTCGGAAAAATATCTTTTAGATAAAACAGTAACTTAGGGTTATTGATCTTTCTAAAGGTTTATCCTTATCTTAATAGCAAGTGATAATATTTTATTTAAGTGAATAATAATGAATCTACAGAGATTTTCAAATTAAAATCATGGATTTATTACCTTTTATTAAGATTTGCATTCCATAAATTCCTCTTTCCAGAAATTGTAAATTGTAATGTATTATCAAAATTAAAACCTTGAAAAGCCAGGCTTTTCTATTAATAAATCACTGAATTTGTTTAATAATATGATTAAAAAACAATTATGAAGAAGACACTTACCACGTAACTGGAAATTACACTTACTAATAAACTTCCTATATACGACCTTTCTTAAATTTCAAGCATAAAATTAATTCCCACCTCGACTGACAGTTCCTTTAAACACATAGAGAATATCCCCATTTTCGACCCCGTGCCACCGGAGGCTACAATTGTCACGCATGATCCTTTGCTTGTGTATGAATAAATAATCCTCTTGCGGAAGAATTTTTCTGCTCAATAACACTTCCCTCAAGTCTCTAACAGTACTTGAATCTTGTATTTCTACAGGAATGCTAGCACCATTAAGCAAGCTAGAAGCTGTTTGCACTATTATACTGAGCTTCCTTGTTGGAGGATCATCCCTTCCACGGTTCATCGATTTCAAGTACACAATAATTTCAGATGATTCACGGATGCCATATTCGGATAGATTGCGAAAATCTTCATCCAATTCTATCCCAGAAAAGAAAAGTAACATTCTTTTAATAGGAGTACTATCAATGATGTGGATTTTTTCTTTCAGGCTACGGACAGTTTCAGTTCTGTCAACTGCTATCTTAATTTGTCTGGCAGAAAATTTTACTATAATTTGGATTTTACTTTGCTGGTTTAAATATGGATTTTCCAATGTGGGTTTAAAAGTTAAGTCAATTTTGGTACCTTCAGTGACAATTGGGTAGTCTTCCATGTCTAGTCCATCAACCAGCTCCCAACCAGAAACAGCTAGAGCTTGAGAAGCCGCCGGGATGCCGAGGATTTGTTCTATCTTTCTTTTGATTTCGAGGACGGGTTCTTGGTGACCCACTTCAATGGAAAATTCATGTTCCCATGCAACAATAATAATCCTCATGATGATTGTGCTGCTAAATGGAACTTTCCTTCTTGCTCTGTTGAATTGTCAAAAGATAAGAGCAACTTATCAGAATATGAGATAATTAATTAAAGATGACCAAATATGGCAGCAAATTAATTCCATTAGTTTTTGTTTTCGGGTGAGATATTTGATACTGTGAAAAGAATGCGCGTCGTTTAATTATAATGAGTCCAGTCCAAGGAAGAGGAGGAATATGAAAGTTAATTAATGGTGATAGTCATGTTTGTTGAATGAGTATTTTTATTTTCATGTTTAATTCATTTTGAAGGTATTTTATTTGTTTTGAGCATGATTTCATGCAATACTCACTTGTGAAATAATCATGCTGCAACTCCCTTTTACATTCACATGAGCAAACCCATAATTGCATAAACATGTTAATTTGGTTGCAGTAGGCACCCGTTATTTTTTTATAATTTTGAAATCAAATAAATGAGAATTACATATGAAATAACACTTTAACACAATAAAATTTTAAAATTATATGCCAATAATATTTAAATGATGCTTACAAATACATTCACATTATCCAACCGTATTCAATGTGAGTAATGAAACAATATTCTGCAGAAATATTAGTCAGAAATTGATTTGGTGGTATTGCAAGGACATCACAGTACTACTGTACTAGCATATCAACTTCGAACAGATACAAAAGGGTAGCATTTTACATGCATACATACATAAGATCAAATTTGAACATGGAAAGGTTATTATAAATGTGCTTTGAACAAGGATGATGAATAAGGTAGGTTTTGCATCAGAATGAAACTTAGTAATCATAAGCCGCAGATTAATTAGAGCTGAGCTAAAGTAGTAGTATACTCAGGAAATAACCAGCAAATATTTTTAGCAAATAAATGAGAGCTGTTGGTTATATATTATGATTCAAATGATGAATCTTCTGATAAATTGATTACAGACCAGCTTATAATTGAGTGATTAGCTTGGTTTGGAGAAGGCTCTACAGGATTGTGCACACGATACATCAATAGAACAAGTTAATAAATCCATGAGTCGTACGTCAAAGATATTTTTAATTATTATAAAATAAATAATCGTTAATCGTTATGATAGGTGAACTAATAGTAAGATAATATTTGTTATACAGATGATATCTAATTATCCAAGACTTTTTCTTATTTGAGCTAAGGAAATGAAGGAGAGAAGCCATAACTGGTTTTTTATAGTATAATATCATTTGTCTAAACAAGTTGGCCAGTAAGGAAACGTGTGAAGGCTAATTAAATATTTAAATCTGAGACATTTCTGCCATTACATGTTGTAATCTTGTTTTTTCATTTTTTCATTTATCCAAAACCCATATTATATATTGACTTAAAACTCTCTATTTCACACTGAGAACCAGAAAGCAATCGTCCTCGTTCAGGGGCAGTTGGTGTTGTCATGATTAAGCTTCAAATTCCATGATAAACATGTAAATATTGGTTCATTTATATTTTACATGTTGATGCAAATAACGCCATCTTTCTTTACTTTCCATTCATCATTCTCGACTAGCCACGAAATCCATATACAAAACCAACAACATCTAGTAAGATGTCTGCACGTGGAACTCGTCGTTTCATTCCAATTATATATGCATATACAATTTAACAATGTCTTTGTTGGATTGAAAAAATGTTAATTAATTCATTGACCACCAATGGGGAAATTATAATGTCAAGTTGGAATATGATTATTATAATTGTAAGATTCTTTGAGCTGGCTCATGTTTAAGCATTTACCACTTACCAGGTCAAGCTATTTCAAGTCTTCATATTTCCTTTTCTAGTTTAAGAACACTTGCTCAACGTGCAATAGTATTATTCTTCTATATGGACCGACCTCTAAATTAACTGTGCTCAACTACCCACAACTTAGTTTTAATTTAGTTTTAAAACATGTTGTTTCTTACAAGACACGCCAAGTACATCTGAAATCTTAGTTGGTTTTAATGTTTTATATACATATATTTGTGTAATTATAAATGAAAAAGTCGTTAAAAATAAATGGATGAGCCATAAAATAATGTAAACTATTTAAGTTGATCTTTCTAAAATGTCTGAAGGTCAGCTCTTAAGTTATTGACCTTATGATAAAGTTATTATTATACATTTTTTAGTTTAGTGACAGTTTGTCAATGAAACTTTCAAGAGGCAAGAGCTCTGCTATAAAAGCGTACAAGTAATCCATATGTTACACACCACCTTCGAGCTGAGAATCAACTTCAAAAATTTCTCTCTAGCTACAGCAATGGCTATCAAGAAACTGCTTTCATTTCTCTTTCTTCAACTGACCCTCTGTCTTCTTCTCTTAGACCTCACTAATGCAGAGAGCTTGAAATTGGGATTCTACAAAAAGACTTGCCCCAACATGGAGGATATTGTTGTTAAAACAGCATACCGATACATTTCTCGTGCTCCAAGTCTTGCAGCTGCTTTATTAAGGCTGCACTTTCATGATTGTTTTGTCAGAGTAAGTCTATATTATAAATTATATATAGTGATTTATTGTTACGTTGTCATGAAGTCTAAGCACTTCTAACAAGATTACTTCTGCAACCAGGGATGTGATGGTTCTGTGCTACTGGATTCTACAAAGAACAACAAAGCTGAAAAAGACGGAATTCCCAATTCAAGTCTAAGAGGGTACGACGTTATTGATGCAGTTAAATCTGCAATAGAAAATAAGTGTCCTGGTGTGGTTTCTTGTGCTGACATCTTAGCCATGGTTGCTCGTGATGCAGTTTCGATGGTATTTAACTAACACAATTGATTAATGAAGTAATTAGAAGTCATATATGCACCATTTGATTGGTTTAATAAATCGATATTAATTATTCGTTCAGATTCATGGACCATACTGGGATGTTCCCACCGGACGAAGAGATGGAAGAGTGTCATTAGCCTCAGAGACTATCCCAAACTTACCTCCTCCTTTCGCCAATATAACTTTACTCAAACAAATGTTTGCTGCAAAGGGTTTAAACGTAAAAGACCTTGTTGTTTTATCAGGTAATTAATTTAATACAAGTCCACTTCGTTATTTATCTTTATATTTATTAGGAGAGTAGAATTTAATTAAGCCAGGGTAACTATTTTTGTATACAGGAGGGCACACGATTGGGGTATCTCACTGCAGTTCATTCACTAGACGTTTGTACAATTTCACTGGCAATGGTGACGCAGACCCTTCATTGGATCCAAAGTACGCAGCACATTTGAGGGTTAAATGCAAGCCTGAAGACGCCAATACCATTGTTGAGATGGACCCTGGAAGCTTCAAAACATTTGATGAAGATTACTACACTCTTGTATCGAAAAGAAGAGGGCTCTTCCAGTCTGATGCAGTTCTTCTCAATGACGAATACACAAGAAATTACGTGAAACTTCAGGCTGCTACACATGGTTCTTCCTTTACTAATGATTTTGCTAAGTCCATGGTGAAGATGGGGAAGATAGGAGTTCTCACTGGTAGAGCTGGTGAAATCAGGAAACAATGCGCTTTTGTTAATTAATAAAAGGCATTGAAATATATATTTTGTTTTTCTTTTCCAAAATCAACTTGTGATTGTATAATTAGCAACCAAGTTTATTGCATTCGGTTGTGTGAGTTTTGTTTTCCAACATTCAGAGCCAAAAGGCTGCGGAATGTGATTTGTAATAGCTCGTGTAGAGCCTTCATCTTGTTAATTGGGCCTTTCTCTTTTTCGTGTAATGTATTGTTCAATTATTATTTTTTCCTATGAATAAATATTATTTTAATTATCTGTGAATATGTTAACTTGGAGGCTTAAAGAATGAAAAAAAAATTAATAAAACATTGTAATCAAATCCATTAATACTGCTATTGATTTCTTAAAAATCAACAAAGTTGTCCCTTCCATATATGTGTCCTCGTGAAGGCAGATTATCAATTAGTTGCTTAATTTTCAATCCTTAATACTATATGCCAGAATTTTATTTTTAATATTTTAAACTTCTCTCATACCTAACCTCATTTTATCCCTTCTCAAACACAAATTGAGTATATTTAATAAAAAAATATTATACTAGAGTAAGAGATCTAACCAACAAGAATATTCCTTTAAAAGATACTCTAAAACATGATTCTCAATTTCCTTGATTTATTGTCATAAAAGTTTGATTAAATACACTTGATAATGATGATACGGTAAAGCATCACTGGGTGGCCTAGTAGTCAACTAGGACTCTTGAATATTTTACTCAATAGGTCTTAAGTTCGATTCACTTAAGGTTGCTAATAAGGGTAGTCACTAAGAAGATTTACTCGGTTGTTAACTTCAGGGTCCCTAGAGATTAGTTGAGATATGCGCAAGTTAGCCTGGACACCCCCAATCAAAAAAAAAAAAAAAAAAAAAAACCACAAGTTTGACCACAAGTGATCAAGGGTAGGCCAGTTAATTTAATTAAAGTTACAAGAATTATTGTTTTGATTTCTTATTTTATAATTCATGTTTTAATAATATTAGGATTTCAATTCATTATTTTAGTAGCATTAGGATAGTATGGAAATTGATATCAAAGAGTCAATGTAAAATTGAGTGATCAGATTCGATAACTTTACTACACTAATCAAATTGATATTAATGTCTTTCTCAATAATCCAAATGAGCAACAAGTCGTGTATGTTTTAACTGAAAAAGAAATCATTACTGAAATTAGACAATAAGATGAAGGAGGTAATCTTGAGGATAATAGTATAGAAATACCAAAAATTTCATGTCAAAAAGCTCTAAATATGCTTGAGAGCTAGAAATATTTTGGCTTCAACAAGAAGATGTTTATGCTGGTGGCTTATTATGTATCCGCAAGATAAAAGATGTGATAATAACTCTAAAGCATAAATTATTATCCCAAGCAACTTTAGATAAATATTTTATTTCATCTTAAACATTTAATGTAACATAGCATATATTTTTTGTAATATACTTATAATTATTACTATGTAGAGACAAATTCCTTAGGACAAGACCTAGAAAAATTATAACTTATTAGAATATAAAATTTATTCTTATTTATAACTAGTCTAAATTGAGACCAAAAATTTTTATAACTACATTCAAGTTATTCTATATAGAATATCATTACACAAATTACTACTATCTTATTATATATACAAACATTTATTACTGCCCTAGTACAATTAACAAATGGAATCCATGTGAAAGTCCATCTGGCAGTAGGCCCGGTTAATCCATTTCTTGCTTTATGAGTGAGTATTAATACATTGGGTGGCGGCTTGTCTAACTGCCTACTGCTAAACCATTACTCAGTCCCATAAAGAGGTTTTCCCAGGTAAAGTAGAATTTAATTACACCTCTTTTTCATTAAAACTTGAGATTCAATTATCAATTATTTAATCAATTAACATACTCTATAATTACAAATTTCATTATACTTGAGATTCTACACAAATTGTGTGAAGATTAACTCGGATTCGTTAATTCCTATATAAAATATAAAATAAATTCCCTTGCTTGATTATCAATTAGTTTATTTACAGCTCTACTATCCTTTGTGTTGGCTGTTAATTAATTTTGCTCTTGAAGATTTCTCAGGCACTAAGCGATTACTCAGAGATCTACAATATATAAGACTACTTATTCAGGTATGTAATTAAGTTTCAAATTCTATATTTAGCCTTGTAAAAGGCATTTTGCATTATTATGATATGTTTTAGACTTTAATCGTTACAAATGATTAAATTGTGAGTTAGTAATTGATTCAAAAATATTGGATGCATCAAACAATTTCAGAAATGAAGATCGAGTAATTCATTTGATTACTTTTCTTCATTGAGGTGGGATTCAATTTTTGTTTTGAATAATTTGTATCTGAATACAGTATAAACTGTACACTATCCAGTGCTAATATAATCTTTAATATTTTGTGCTTTTTCTTAACATGCCAGTTAAGATATAATAATTTTGGGTTTTTTTTTTTTAGAGAAATCTATACTGTTTATTCTCTATATAGTCAAATTTTTTAAATTCTATTTTAGATATACCTTGATATATGTGAAATTATGAACTATATGAATCTATTTTATCACATTTTTCTTTGTTAATAATTTTACGTTTATGTATATCTACACTCCTCAAGTGTTATATTATCCTTTCTTTTAATTAATTAATTTTCACGTGTGTATATGTATATATCATTTCTCATTAACGTTGTGCTTTATAAAGAATATATATACTTTTATTATGCTTTTTTTATATTTGATTTTCTTTAATTAATAATTATTGTATGTATAAACGTAGCACTCTATGAGGGAATACATATTCGTATGTACGTATGATCAAACGTGGCGCATAATAAATGTAATTAATTATATTGTACATATATAGTATACTCTTCATAAGTCAAATATTAATCATTAATGAATTTTTGAATTCTTATAGAGTGGCCTTTTATGACAAAAACTTGAGTATATATTATTATTATTATTATTATTATTATTATTATTTTCTTGTCGTTACATTTTTCTTCTTAATTTGAATTCTTTTGTGTGATAACGTATCATCCATTCTTTATATGCTTAATTATATATATATATATATATATAATTATCTTGACGTGATAATGTTATTTTTTTTCATATGCATATTTATTCACTGTCGACATTTATAGCTTGGCATAAACACATTTTAATTTCTTTGTCCTTATAAATCGTTGTGCGCATAACCTTTAAGAAATGATATTATTCATTCCCTTAATTTAGCATGCCAATTTAATGAATTCAAGGAAAATCTTTTGAACCAGCATTTACGTTTAAAAATAACAGTTTACTTTCAAGATTTTCGCCATTTATCCTATGCTATTGAATTTTCTTTACACAAAATTTTCATATTAGTGTCATGTGTCAACAAGTTAAATAAAAAAAAATTATATTAGAATAATTATGAGTAATATATAGAAAACGGCCACAATCTTAATCCATTTTCGACACTAAAATGCGCGCCTTGACTTACTACAAGTGGATATATATTGTTATGCCTGGGAACTTAGGTCTGACGCGGCGTCCTGTTAAGTGCGCAAGGTCAGACCTCGGGAAGAGCCTACTGCCATCCTGACGCAGCTGCTTCGTGTAATCACGGTGGCACCCACAGCTTGCTTTCTTCAGAGTAATGGGTGCACGTCAGGTTAGCAAGGAGTTGTGATGATTCCGCGTGTCCAACCCCTGTAGCAAATCACGTGAATTACTCCAAACGAAAGATTTGCGCGGATCATCCCACCAACTTTCAGATTCAGTGATGATTGCCTCAAGGCATCCCACTATAAAATGGGAGTTCCTCTCTCATTAAAGGGATTCGCAGATGTTACTCTTGATAAGAACTCACTCTGTAGAAAAGACAGTCTTCAATACCTTGCATTATCAGTGTAAAGTCAGTCATCTAAAATGACCTGACCCTTATCATTAATAAAAACATCAGTGGACGTAGGATTTGCTTCCTTAGCATCCGAACCACTTTAAAACTCCTTTCTCACTGCATTTACTTCCATTCTCCTAAAAACCTTTCACATGTGTCTTTTGGGGTCAACTCAACATTTCACATGTGCTTTTAGTTGGTGTCAAAATCGTGCATCAACAGTTTGGCACTAGAAGGAGGACTGATTTAGTGTTCATCCTTCATCCGGAGAATCTCCAACCTATCAGTCCTACAGCAACAAATGGCCTGTCAACCAAAACCTGAACAGACCAACCAGGGCGTTGAGGGGCTCCCCTAAGTTCAGGGAGACACCTCTTCCAGAAAACCTTCAGCCCCGCAAAATGCTGCAAGAGATATCCCGTCAAGTTCACATCTTGACCTTGCTATTAGAAGCTACTTGGAGAGGTTTGACAATACTCCCTAGACGGTCAACCGAAGGTTGGACCGTTTGGACCAAGGCGTGCCATCCACGTCAGCCGTGGCGGTGCAACCGCCAAAAACGTCCGCAGGTTGCGCAAAAGCGCGGCAACGGGAAATAGCCCGTGCCGCGAGCACTGCAGCGCGTAGACGAAAGGGAAAACAAGTGGCAAAAAGCAAGCCCACGGGCTCCAAAGGGCTAGCGAACTCTGACCGCATCCCGAGCAGAATACCGATCTCGCTGAGACTCGGTGAAAGGACGCAGCCTGAGCTGTTCCATGCCACATCGCAAAAGCACACACATAAAAGCGCTGGTCGGGGCGATTCCTATCACTACCAGCAAAACAGTCCTGATCGTCACCGTGTGAGAAGGTCCCACACTTCGCGGGGCGGTTCTTACCACCGCGAAGGTCGTGAAAATACCCCGGACCCTTCATCGCCATCACACGCTTCCAGCCGACGTGTGTTGAGAGTGGCTGGAACAGCTGGCTGAGGCGAAGAGGAACCCGACCTCCGGACATTCCTCAACCGTAATCGCGAGGGTCGAACTTGCATAGGTGAAAGCAATCCCCAAGCGGCTCCAGTACAGCAAATTGAGGAGCTGCAGCGAGCTCTAGACAGATTGCGAGCTCAGCAAAACGAGCGAGAGCAGGTCGCATCTGCGTCCCCCTTCTCTGCCGAAGTGTTAGTAGCTCCACTCCCACCAGGATTTAGGATGCCCAACATGCTGGCGTTTGATGGGAACTCCGAT